TTTTTTTGTTAAAAATTATTTTATTTCACCATTTTAAGTAATAGGCAGAGAAAGCTAGGATGCTTCTTAAAAGAGAAGGCGACGGCTACTTGAGACCGAAAATCACAGTAATGGCAGTCCTGAGTTAGTCAGCCTTCAGTGCCGTAAATCGTTGAGGAATTCCCGCGAATGTCAATGACCTCCATTATCAGGTATACTGCAGACCTTCATTATACATAATCCATATAGGTGCAAATTTCTCATCAATATAAATGAATCAAGTCCAAACACGAGGTAGTTACTGTAAACCGTTCAGGAGTTCCCTGAGCTGTCCATCGTTCTCAACATCAGACCCTTAATGACAGTCACGACCAATCTTGGTGCAAAGTGCTCATCAATACGAATCATTCAAGCCTAAACACAAGGCAACTACTCCAAATAATCAAGGAGATCCCTCGACTGCCTCCCGGTTCCATCATCACAATTTACTGCATAAATTCATTGTAATCCATAGAGGTGCAAAGTTTTCATTGATATACATGAATGAAGTCCAAACAGGAGGTAGTTACTGTAAACCGTTCAGGAGCTCCCTGAGCTGTCCATCGTCCTCATCATCAGACCCTTAATGACAGTCACGACCAATCTTGGTGCAAAGTACTCACCAATACAAATCATTCAAGCCCAAACACAAGGCAACTACTCCAAATAATCAAGGAGATCCCTCGACTGTCTTCCGGTTCCATCATCACAATTTACTGCATAAATTCATTGTAATCCATAGAGGTGCAAAGTTTTCATTGATATACATGAATGAAGTCCAAACAGGAGGTAGTTACTGTAAACCGTTCAGGAGCTCCCTGAGCTGTCCATCGTCCTCATCATCAGACCCTTAATGACAGTCACGACCAATCTTGGTGCAAAGTACTCACCAATACAAATCATTCAAGCCCAAACACAAGGCAACTACTCCAAATAATCAAGGAGATCCCTCGACTGTCTTCCGGCTCCATCATCAGGTCGGGTTCGAACATCGGCAAGTTGTAAATTTGTCAAAAGCCTACTAAAACCATATGCAAAAGCACCACTCGCCCCTACAATTTTTGAAAGTTCCCCTCAATTTCTCTGGTCTTCCATCATCAGATCCTGATTTCCTTATCATGGGACCATTCTGGGACTATCTCCTTTCCAATAAAAAAAGAATTATCAAAATCGATTCATAAATAACGCAGATATCGGCGAACAAACATAAAAAAAAGCATATATACGGTCGAATTGAGAACCTCCTCCTTTTTTGGAAGTCGGTTAAAAATGAGATCGATTTTATTATTTTACAAAAGAATGTTGACGAATAGTTTGCTTGTTATTTTTGAAAACAATGACTTGCGGTGCGGATGCGGTTTTTTTTGTAAAGTACGTGTTCATCATGTTTAATGTTAAATTGGTGAGCGGAATTTTTCCACGTGTTTCGGTGGTCTGATAATCTTTACATAACATATTTGATATATTTTTGATTTCAATTTTGTAGAATCATTACAAAATTGGGAAAGTCGAAGTAAAAAAATATTCATTTCCGTTTAACAATAATCAATTAGTTTTGAAACCTTAAAATAGAACAATAATCGGTCAGACCGTTCGTCAGTGAAGCTCACTCTTAAGTGTGACGTCGAATGGAGATGAACGACTAAGAAACAACATGACAAGTGCTGATGTAATAGTCCTTGTTATTTACAAGTAGGTACAAACATTGTGATTTCAAGTAGGTACATATACAAGCTAGTAAGTAAAAGTTAAAAAGTATTGTGGTATCTATTTGGGTCCTCCACGAATCTTACATTTCGCCCGAGAGTTCGTTACGTCATTTCTTTTCGACTTTATTGACTTTTCGACCGACTTTTATTTAAAGAGCATTTATTGTTTGAATTTCGCAATTCCTACTTTCTTTCGGATTTAATAAGGCTGAAATTATAAAATCAGACAAACAGGTAACATTTAAAATGTTAACATTCTTCATAAATCATAATCTTACTCCAATCAACTCTGAAATCCTTCAACAAAGTTCATTCGTGATGTACAAAGGGCACAGACGAACGAAGAATTTTATTACATTTGTTGAGCACTGTAAGAATCTAGACGATTTAATTATACGTACCAACGTCGCTGTTTCTTAGTTTTAATTGTTTATTATATCTAGTAGAGGTTTCGAATATTTGCTCAAACTCAACAGAAGCTAATTTGCAGTTCTCAGACTAAACAAATAATGAAATTTGGTGTACGCAGGCACTCGCCTCATCAAGTAAATGTAAAGGTCATAATGTATTTTGTCGCCGGCTGGTTGTCGTACACTCTCAGCTGATATATCGTCCAATAAAGTCGTGATGTGAAGAATAGCTCCCATCCCATTAACGTCACACGCAAAACGATTTCGCCTCTGCCGAACACGATTTGTAGTGGCAGTGATTTGTGTGTCCATATTGTGAAGTTGAAGTTTCCAAATAACGGACCATTACGAAAAAGGGAAAATCGGTGGTCGCTTGGGAGTGGGCATTACTGGGCCACATATATGCGGCGAGAACAATGCGAATAATTCCGTTTATTCGCCGCCTTACAGCTCTATTACTAGCCGGCGAGGTCACTCACCTACCATTGCACTGAGATTAATGTCGAGTTCTCGTACCGTTACCAGTTTTAATATTAAACAAACTACTACTATAATTATAATAAGCATTTAAATATAACCTTATGAGTGTAACTTAAATGTTATTTTAATCTGCTGCAATAATTTAAATGAATCATTCGTATTCTGAAATTAAATTTATTTGTTTGTACAACTCTTACTTGCTTCTTTAATTATTTTAAACAGATTACATTAAATATGTACACTGTAAGCGGATTTTCAATAAGCGGCACTGCTTCCAACTAAAATTGAAAGCTTGTAAGTATGGATGCATTGATATATGGAAAGATACTATAACCAGAATTATAAATATACTAGAAGTATTATACAGATCTGAATAATAGATATAAGTCTTGAAAAAACCCATAGTTCTCCTTTTAGCTTGTACTGAAAGCGAAGCCGCTAGTAGAGGCTAGTGTGTAATAAAAATATAAAGATGAGCACTTAATAACGATACTCATTTCAAGGAAAAAGCTGTAAATGTTCATTATTTAATATAAAATGATCTGTCTATAAATAAATATTCGGAATACTAAATAAAATAAATTAAAATGTGTGGGAGAGCCATGGTCCGGTATGAAGCAGCTGGCTCGACCGGAGCGGGGACCTATACAATAAAATAAAAAACAAAATAATATGAATTATGATGTATAATCATACTAGATTAAAATTTGTATATCTTTGTATTGTGATGATTGATCTCATAGGTTGAGTGAGAGATCACTAGAGTGACTGAGGCAGTCAGCAGTCACTCTTGCAAGGGGTTTTGAGTATGATTCCCGGGCACGGCAAAATATTATTGTTAATTATAATTTACAAGTCTATAACGCATATATAGTTTGCACAAGAAATTTCTTTTAAAATTTTATATTTAGCACTTAACATGTGTTTTTAATAAATAGTTCCTGGATGATGCTTTGCCAGGTAAATATTTTTTTTCAGGAAATTATACCTAGATTGATTTCTGCGCCTGAAAACCTTTTCATGTAAAACTTCATTGAAATCCTTGGAACCGTTTCCAAGATATTTTTTTATATATATTTATACAAAATGTCCAGGAATTGCTCGTTTTCATACATATGATTAGTTGTAAGGCAGCTAGGTATTGCTGTATTATTTATGCATAATACAAATAAACAGTAATTACACTAGAAATACAAGATTTTAAATGTAAGTACTCGAACGGTTCGAATACTTTTTTTGTGGGGGGAAATCATCAAATGATTTTTCTACTAAATGTGGGGCGAGAGAGAATGTCAGACTCTTACTGACTAACCTCTCCCCCCCCGTTCCATGTCCTGCTCTAGGCCGGCACCGCGGTGCCTTATTCAGCTTGGCCCGCAACCCCGGCTGAACATCAGCCCTATGGGGCCCCGTCTGTGGTGGTCTATTTGCTCTTTGAGGCGCGTGCGGAACGCTACGCGCCGAACGCTCGGGTCTGGTTCTGGTCGGGCGGCGAGTTACCCTTGCTCGCCGTCCGCAGACCCGCGCTTACGGTGGCCGGAGATCATCTCTCGATTATAATAGGGTGGAAACCGATCAGATGGATCACCCGAAGTAATCCGTGGTAGTGCCGCCCAAGGACAGGTGTTCTTGTGTTGAAAGTAACAGGATTCGGGAGACAATCGTATCTCCTTTTGAATCGGCCCATTCGTGCCGAATCATTGTTGTCTTCCACTTTATTCAGTTGTTATTAATGCTCATTTCTTCTCCATGTGAGAAAAGTTTGTTTAGACGTGGGACGGTGACAGACTGACAATGGTGGTGATGAACATTACATGTATACCAGTTTCAAGTCATGACAGGACTCTTATCCACAAGCAGCGTGCGCGTCGCAGCTGTGTCGCGCGTGACAGATTATTGTATTTTTTTTTATTTAACTATCTCTGTAAACGCACATCAAAACGAGCTTACCATTGTTATTGTTTTATGTTTATTACATTTGATATCTAAAAGCTTACAATGTAAAGATCAAAATAAATATTTAAATTATCACTATAAGTTTTAAATAAGATTTGGTGTGTTTAAATTAGTTAATTTCAATTGTGAATTTAGTTATTTGTCTAGATTTGTTGTCTCTGATTGGCCAATTTTGGCGGGAAAGTATGACTGTTCGGAAAAACGTTGTAAAATAAGCCACGGCACTTTTTTGGCGGGTTGACGTTGAGTTAAGTGATTCCTCTTTTTTATGTTAATCACTTTTGTATATTGCTGTTAAATGTGATTAAAATGATAGAAAAAGTCTAATTATTTATACCTTGATGTTTATTTCTTTGCTTTTTGCACTTATTCGTGAGATTTCAATAGTTCAATAATAAATTAAATTGATCTTTTTATATAGCAAATCTCACACGCGCTTTCTCGACTGATCACTTGAGCTTGCGGTAAATACACGCACGTCGAAGTCGAATTTCTTTGTCTTATGTCTAGAGCCCAATATCATCTTATATAGCTAAGAATAACAAAAGATTAATTATAATATCACGTTGTGTTATTTATGAACCAAAAGTTTTTTAATATTGGATCTTGTATTATGTAGCCATGTTTGAGACGCGTACCGAGCAATCCGTCAGTACCTAATATTATCATTATTTTAAGAAAAATTCACTGTGTTTTTATATTATAAGAATTTTCTAACTTCTTTGACCCTTTTACATGTCGTATTGTTTTGGTTTTATATCAGATTCTCATTTCAAGAGGCCTGTGGGTTTATTTTGATATACTGGGACACACTCCGGTGACTGACAGTTAATTTCGAAGATCACTAAGTTGCTGGATTATACACAGTCATATTTTAACATAATGTATGATTTTATCCCTAGAGAAATACTTTTAATATAATATTTTGAAAGGCAGCCGCTGGGCGTAAATTCAAAAGTGTTTATAGCGGATTATCATGGCTGGCTTGAGCTATAAACAAGAATCTTGAACCTAATACCTACTCAGTATAAGGATTTTTTACGAGTCAATAATTGAAATTACTTCCAAGTCGCTTAAACCATCCACTAAGGACCACTAAAAAGACATCAACAGTGAGCAGGTGGGAAAAACTTATTCACATTACTTTTCTTACCGGCAGCCTATTATACAGCTGCTCGAGATACGTACGCTTACTTTTATAAATGTTTACAATTGAAAGAATTGCTGTAATTTATACTTGAACAGCAATTTCATTTGTTAAATAATCTAAAATTTTCCCATATTCTTTTTGAACAAAGAAACGCAAATCGGTGACTAACTCCTGTGTGGGCGGCGAAAATTTAAAGATCTACCGAAGATCTGAGAGGATATAATTTGTCTACAGAACATTATTTTGAAACGGGAGATCATTGACAAAGTTCATTGAATATGCATTTATTGAACTTGGTGCTCGTCGGAGCATGATCACAGTAGAAAAATAGGAGTACTGAAACGTGATCAATGCGAGGCAAAAAGCGACGCCGACGCAAAAAAGCAACGAGAAACATTTGAACGACGCGCGACGTCGCCGTCGCTTCGCAAAATTACATGGAGCGTAAATAACGTTTCATTTAAAATATCTTCATTAACATCATTCGTTTTAATGCAGTGTAGGTAGACCTACAATGGAAAATATAATGTCTCGGTGTTGGGAGGTCTCGGAAATCCCGTCCTCCTGCGAAATGAAATATGATTCACATTAACTAAAGCTCTTGTTGTGTCCCGTTTTTGTCGGGAACCGTTTGCTACACTTGTATTTGCCACTGGATTCACTTCGAAGTGTTAAATAAATGCGGCTCGCTTGTTCCTCTTTGTTTTAATTCAATTATTCTTGCCTCGCACGACTGGATTGGATACTTTTTTCGGAACGGTCGTCGCGTTATCGGCTTTTGAGACGTAAGTTGGCTGAAATGCAAGTCACGTATTTGATACTCGAGGCAGCAACGGGCGTTTGCATTTCATTAGTAGACTTTTGATCACAGAATATTGTTACGTGATTAAAGTTCAAAGTTTAATTTCAGTTAGACTTTCCAAGATTGATGGAGGGCGTTTTGATTCATTGAACCAGTTTTAACAAAACCTTAGGGGCTTGTTGATGGTTTGGTGAATTAAATAAACTGGGTTCATTAATTGTGACTTCTTGATTGTGTTCTGGGAATTTACTAGAAGAAATGTCAAACTTGAAAATCATAATGATGTTGATTAAAGAAATTATGGTACCTAATAGAGGAGCAATAAAACTAGAGCAATACCAAAACATTGTGAATCTACTGAGAGTACATAGCTAGTTTAGGTTATGCCAAAGCATAGATTCAAACAGATCATAAAGCGGGTACTGTAGACGACGTCTACTAATTTTCACCTTTGTCGTGGATCTGGTGTTTGACGCAACAGCAAGCAGGTCTATTGTTGTCACATCCATGACGCTCATTCAACGCTTTGATAAGCCTACGTGATAAATTACCGACTTGGGAGACAAATATTTTTTTATATTCTGTGGGGGGAGCAACAAAAAATAAATTCTGTTCAACGTTTATTATGTCCTTGTTTGTTTATTACGTTGTGTATGGCCTTAGTTCGCTGGGCAGGCAAAGTTCTGCTTTAAATGGTGAAATTACTTACGTTCGAAGATTAATGGTGGATGTGGATGCTCGTTTACTTAGGTTAGGCTTTTTCAAGATTTTTATTAGAAAAGTAGGTACAAAGGTTGAAAGTTGTGTATCATTCTCGTTATTATCGATGTTTTAGTAAACGGATATAATAACTGATGTTAGCGAAATTAACAGTTCAGTAAAAGAGCAAAAAAAAGTAGTGTGTTAAAATGTACCTAATCTTAACTTTAGTATCCTTTATGGGAAACAGATAACAGGGAACAGGGACAGGGAACAAATACCACTACAAATCAATATTTAAAAAAACAGCATGCAAATAGCAACCAACAATATCAGTTATACAAACTTAATTTAACAAAATTATCGTTCGCATTCAAAATGTAGGTCAAACAATTGTTGTCTTACTTAATCCAACTGAGACCGACCGGACTCCGTGACGATTCCAGCCTCAGTAATAAGGCCAGGAGAAAGGACAACGTGTCAATCAAACCTAAATGAAATACATAGTATAATTCGTGAGCTCAAACAATGGCTGGAATCCGCAAGTAAAATTGTCAATCCACATTCGCTTTTAATAGATTTTTTTGTGGAAAAACATTATTCTCTCCAGTGACCGCAGGCTCGCCCGTCAAACGCACTTAGTTTTTTTACTCACATTCGATTTATTTTATCCTACAATAATATGAGAATATGTATCTGAAAGGTAAACACGCCAGACAATTGACTTTTATCTTTATTTTGAACCTGTTTTTTATCCTTTGAAGTTTTTATGCCCACGGGCGATACATATACAAGTCATCTGCGAAAACACAGTATCGTTACACAAAATTTATATTGGATTTTTATTATATAAGCTATATATGTTGATGTTGTAATTTTTTAACATATTGTTATCGATTTTGAATAAAATTTTATATTATGGATATTGTAGGAGCATGTGATAGTCCCATCACTCCATCATCTGCGTACATCCAGGTAAACACATTACCATGATTTCAATTAGCGGAGTATGTACACAGCGCGGCCCGCGCCCTACCTGCGGCGTGCTATTAATGAAGATGCCACGATATATCCCCCGCACGTCGTCGCTGGGACGTCCCTTAGATATTTCTGGAATGATAAATGAGTGTCGTACGTGATGTAATGGTTCGGAACTCCCATGTGTCCGAGCTGAGGGATGAAACATATGTACGCCGATATTGCACAGCGAAGGTATGAAATGGGCCTTCTTTTTGTATTTGCGGACATAATACCCCCGAGAATATTATTGTGTGTGAAAATAGTACGTCTCTTTTGTATATTTTTGCTCTACAGGTGTTGGTGTTATTGAGAGTGTATATGCTCATACACATTTGTTTACTGACTATCCGAAAATCCGCAATTTCGAACAAACTACATTTCGGATAGTGAGTTGAAATTTAAAGTCATATAATTCAAGACCGATTGTCAGCACGCCAGCCTGTTTAACTAATATCCGATAACCGCATACGAGTGTTCATATAACGGCAAACCGGCTGTTCCGTGCCTATCCAACTAGTCAAATAATTTGATGCAATTTGTATACACGCTATCACATTTGCGTATGAATAAAGTCATTTTCAGAATCAATTTCAATATTTCTAGCTGAGCAGGATGTATGACGTGGTTTCGATTTTCGCTAACAAAGCTGTAGATTTGAATATTTTATTAATGACTAGCTGACTCGGCAAACTTCGTACCACATATTTTTTTTTAAATTAACCTTGCCATTTTTTGGCCTTTTAAACTTTTCCTGTATATCCAGGAATATTTCAAGACCGCAATAAGCCACGTCAGTCCAGTTCTTCTCGAGTTTTAGCGACACTAACGAACAGCACTTCATTTTTATATATAAGATTTAATCCGTATTATTTATTCTGTGTATGTCACTTACTCAAATTGTGTGTCAAGACTTGAGTGTAACACAGAGACAATGATAATAATCGGGCGAGCAGTTAACGATCAATTATCTCCTCTACACGCTATGGCGGCTCGTCCGGGACATGGAATTATAATTGTAATAAATAATAGAACGCATTAGTTGCAATACTGGGGATTACTTTGTGTTTCGGTAACTATTACCCTCTGCTGCTGAACCATTAGATTATCTTTTAGGTGAGCAAAACTTTACTGCCTATGTACCAACAACTTTACTGTATATGTATGATTGCAGTTGTGCCTATTCCAAAATTATTTACAGAGTCAAGTATTGATCGTGCAGCGACCAATAACTTGCGATTGCTAATTTTAAATTTGAACTTTTATCACATCATCAGTGCCCACCTTTGAGCAAATACCTCTTCTCACACGGACTCCTGATGAAGTTTTCCTTCACAGTATTCAGTGATATATAAATAATCATAGAAAGTACATACCCACAAAGTCTCATAAATAGTCACATTGGCTTACCTATATATACCTTACCTATATATATACGGCTACCTGGGCCGTGGTGGCCCAGGGGTTAAGCCAATGTGACATGTGTTAACACCACATTAATATTACTATGGTGGTTCAAACTAATTTTTGGTTGATTGCTGACTCGTTGTATGCATCCGGTACATCACATCCTATGGTAAGATGTATTGGTTCGCCATAATTCATAAAGGGTCTAAACTGATGGTGAGTTCCGTTGTTAGTCTTTCGGTCTCACTACCCATAACGACAGTCATTAATATTCGTATGACATCCGAGGTCGAATGCCGTGCGTTTTCCCTGCTCAAAGGTAGGGGATGAAACTATGAACATTGAGATTCTGGCCTATTACCTACTAGAAAATTGTATTGCAGTTTTCTCCAATTAAAATATTCAGTGGTTTGTTTGCGTAAGCGTAAGTATAAATCAGGATCATTCGACTTTAAAAACCTTCTCAAAAGCAAAGTCTGGAATGGGCTCAGTTTCGGATTAATATTTTTAATAATATTTTTTTATTATTTCACATCCATTTACCATCAGTTCTGTATATGAAGGCATGCCATAGGGCGAAATTACGTCGGTTTTGTGAAAGAAACCGAATACAAGCGGTGCACTTGCGGTTGTGTTCCGCTACTCACTATTTTATTCTTCTATAAAGTTGTTGTTATGAATGTATGCATATAAATAATAATATTGAACCAATAACCCTGTAGGAATAGAAATTGAGCTAAATATGTAAATATTTTTATGAGTTCAATCATAGGAAATTTAGACCTGGTGTTAATTCTGATCTCTTACTTTGAATCTACTCATATACAGAAGTACTATTAAGTAGGTAAAAGCAGAAATTTTAATTATACGGAAATACGTTTATTTTTACATAGTTTTTGGAAACTCCATTGTCATTTTTATTTTGAGAAATAAGACCTCGTTTCTTTTGGATTGAAAATGAAACACCGGCAAAAGCTAATGACGCAAGGTACAGAAAGAATGGTTAAGCAAGCGGAACGAGTCTTCGACTTTTATAAATTATTTCATAACTGCAAGACTTTATTCTGCAAAACTAAATTGGTAAAAGTATGGCTGTAATTGATATTTAAAAAGACATAATCAAGGGATAGTTGAAATCAAATATAGGGATTTCGCCAAATATTCTTTGTTGATATTCGAATTGGTTAAAAATCAATAACTTTATTTCGAAAATTCAATAAAATTATTACAAATAGGTTAGTCAACGACATATTGTGAAATTTAAGATTTAAAACGAACACGTTTAATGAAAACAATTGACGGAAATGTGAGTATAATTCTTATGGAATATTTTTAGTCTAATCGTGTGAAAAAATACTATTACTATGGTAAGCAATTAGCGATGCTCATTCTCTTAATACAGAAAGAGTGACTAAAAGTGCAATGCCGACCTTTTGTGGGTTATTAGAGATTTAAAGTTAGGGAAATTAGGATTTGAGGATATGGGTAAGGATTGGGCCTTTGGTTTTTTTTATTTAAACGATCGGCATACGATCAGACGGATTACCTGATGGTAAGTAATCAGAGCCGCCCATGGACGCTCGCAACGGAGGAGTTACGAGTGCGTTGCCGACCTTTTAGGGATTAGGGATTTGGAGATTTAAGGATTGAGGAGGGATTGGGGGAGGGGAAGGATTGGGCTTACGGTAACCTCACTCACACGGCGAAACACAACGCTGTGGTTGTTCCACGCCGGTTTTCTTTGAGGCCGTGGTATCACCCCGGTCGAGTCGACCCATTCCTGTCGAAGCATGGCTCTCCCACACTTAAACCCTAACCTCAAACAAACAGCGAAACACAATGTTAGTATTGTTTCACGCCGGTAATCTGTGAGGCCGTGGTATGACTCTGAAGCACAGCTCTCTCGCCAATGACTCCAATGAATCCAAAATATAAATATTCAAATGATGCAAGATGCAAATCACAAAAAACCACATCACATATTTTGTTTTTATTTATTTTAACTAGTGCTTTTATTTGACCAGAGTACCTACAATTTTTCATAAAAGGAACAGCACTAAGTTTAGTTTTAATATTTAACTTGTTTACAGCATGTTACAAAACGTTCCTGTTGCTTTAAGTAGTTTCTTCAGTGGAGTAGCATTATATACCTGAAAAACTCTGTAAAATTGTAGGTACTGAAGTTTTTTTACTTGAACATCGTAATACATTATATAGATATTTCATTTTTTTTCTCTTTTCTCTCTTTAGATAAAACGTTGCCTCACACTAGGATTTTCTCCTGTGTCGTCCCTTTACAAACATACAATTTCCAATACACATAACACCCAGACCCGGAACAACAATTCGTGGATCACACAAAGAGTTGTTCCGTGCGGAAATCGAATCCACGACACGCTGCGCGGCAGCCAGTTGCCCAGCCACCGCGCCAACCGTCAACAAGTCATAGTAATTATTATTTCATTACGTACTGCTGTGTTGTTTAGACAATATATTTGTTTGCAATAACTAATATCTAATAGTCGTATAGTAACTGTGAAAAACTCTCGATACGGGATAGGGTGCGACGCGACGGCACGCAGCCGAAAAAGTTCAAGTTTTGAGTCCCGTTGTGTCTCGAAATTAGTAGAGATTTTCTCACTTCATCGAAGTAAGCCCATTTGTTCGGATAGTTTTCTTTTATGAGCAATTTCATTTTGATTTAGAGTCGAAAATGTCATGATTCAGTAATTAATAAAGATTACATTTAATCATTTCATTTTTAATTATGAAAACATTACAGAAGCATCGTATTTTCTCTGACTATATTATATCATTTTAAACTTTCTTAGAATATTCGAGTAACTCGTGTCAGATACGCTTTTAAAAAAAAGTTAAGGTTCGTATGTATACAAAAAAAGGGTTTGCGGCACCAAAACAACAAAAAAATTTAAACCCATGTATTTAAAATATACGTCTTGATATCTGAGAAAGCTATAGCTTTCAATTCATACTGGCATACTAAAATTGAAAATAGTAGAAAATTTCTAAATCAATAAAAAAAAAAAATTAACAATCAGTACAATTTTTCGAAACACAATATCAAAAGGAAAGTAATTAACTCTCATAACATTTTATCTGTTTTCTCAAAGCCAATACGAGAGTCAGGCACATTTTTTTGAAAAAAGAACGTATCTACATTACACACAGACGGATAATTACTTCCCTTCGGTTATTTACGGGTACCCTCGTCACAGTGAACGCTTGTTTTACACGTCATTCTTGTTTACTAATGAAAAAAATGCTGGTGGAAAAAATAAATTGCTTTTTATTGTCCGGCCACAGTCAGCCGGCCGGGTGCGTAAATCAGAGATTATAAAGGATTTTTTTTTTGAAATACCGTACTCTTTAGCCGAAGTAAACATTTGTCGCGGTACGATAACACACGTTCCCGCCAAATACATTCGGCGAACTATTCGTCATCGTGCTGTGAGTTTTCACTGTGACATACATTGGTAACGTATTGGTTTTGCATCACTTATGTTTTGAAATTTCTATGCGACAAGCTACAACAGTGAAAGTTAGATATTTAAAAAAATGTGTCCCATCTATATATTATTAGAATTTTTTTTTACTTGCAATAAATTAGTGCTTGACTGCGATCCCACCTGATGGTAAGCAGTGATGCAATCATTGATGGTAAGGCG